CCAGCCTGTCCAGGTCCCTCTGAATGGCAGTGCATATATTTCTGTTCTTTTGAAGTCCCAGCAATTACTACTAAAAAGCAGTTCTTTATGGTTCTACCCCAGATTAAGAATATTCATTGTTTGTATGCACAATTTAAAATAGTCACTACTTTCAACAGTTTATAGTCTGTATTAAAACAGAATAAAATAAATTTTAAAAAGTACTGGGGGAAATTAACAGAAAAAAATTAAAACAAGCATATTCTAATGCAAAAGTAGACACAACACCCATCATATCATATGCCCATAAGGCTTTGACAATTCTGCTTTTTAAAACAATTTTTCTTTACAGTAGTTTTAGACTTGATGTTCTTCATATTCAGTGAAAGTCAGAGCACTGATTTCCTATCTTCTATATAACTTATAGTATTTTAAATATTTACACTGTTCACTCTGTGCAACGTCACTCCCAATTCTTTCAATCTTGTCATAGATGCTTTACCATATTTTAAAAATGTATCATCTTAGTTTCAGAATTGTCTTATTTTTCTATAATTTTTTATAATGAAGCAATGATGAAACCATGTAGATAGTAGTAGGTTTCCAACTGTACAGGAAAAATAATACACAGAGAACATAAAAAGGACTGAAGGGCAAAAAAGGTCAGAACACAGACTGAAGAAATAGAGACTGTGAATGACTGAGGACCATGATAAGGGTATCAAGAAAAACAAATCAAGACAGTGATTTATAGTATTCTATCTCTGGTTCTAAGGCCTTCAGTCTAAAAAATAATTCTGATAAATTGAGCAATTAAAAAAAAAAGAGATAAAAGGATTTTTTTCTGAAAAGCACATTTTCTAGACATTGAAGAGTAAAATAGCTCACCATACACTCACACTATTTGAAAATAAGCTGAGGATTGACTTGTCTGCAAATTGTGTTTACATTAAATTACTTCTAAGACTCAGACTTCAAATTTACCAACCAAATGCATAATGAAACACAAGGGTGGAAAGGTAAATATAGACAACCTCTGAGTAGAAAAAGAGGAAAAAAAAATTAATCATGAAGACAGTTAAACACAGAAGGATCTTATCTACAGATGGAGCAAACTCCTTCACCAAGTCTTTTGATCAAGATTGGAATTATTTCAGTAGGTCCACACTGACACAACCAAAAGCTACGAATTAAGACTCAGGGAACACTTAATGAAAATATATGGTCTACAGTATGTCTGAGGCTAGATGCTTAAGCTAATTTCATCTGTTTTTTAAAAAATGCGCTAATGTGATCACTTGCAATTGAGATAAGAGATGCTCCACAATACCAAATCCATGACATAGCTTGAAAATTACTGAACCTTGAATATATGTTTTACTAAGTGAATATCTATTCTTTTATTGTAAATTTTCATCCTTCTTCCCTTGCCTTTGCCTTTTTGTTCATTTATCATTTTAATTTGTGTAATTTCCAATTCAAACAACATAGTCTATCATATCTTAATTATTTTTTTTTTTTAGATTACCAATTTATGTGAACTCAATTTCAAAAAAGACATTGCTTTAAACTGGCTGTTCAACCATTACCAATCTGTTTCACTATATGAGAATACAAAAGACATATTACCTCGGCTTTGGGCAGCTTCTTTCAAAGCAGCTAGAACCTCAGGCTTCAGGTCATCAGAAAGTAACCTTCCTTCCAGGCCAGGAAAGAATGCTCTAAGCACACCATAAAAAAAAAAAAAAAAAAAAAAAAGCCCCAAAACACACTTTAGCAAATCATCTAATTTATTTATGTTGTTGCACAGAAATTACCAGCATGGTAATCATCATGGTAAGACAGTCGCATGCAAAGAAATCGCTTACATATGCAAAACTGGGCTTTCAGTGGGTGTTTTCTTAGAAATTACAAAATCATATATTTAGAAGCAGAGAGTAGTAAGAAACTCAGCTTTTCAACTACTCTTCTTTTCAAGGCAAGTCTAAGCAAGTTTTCTCTTTATAGAAAAACCAGGATTAGAAATTATTTTCATCTATTTGTATTCTAACAAAAAATAAAGGTAAAACAGCACCTACTGTTCTATGTAGCTTAAAGATTCTATTTGAAGGCATACAAAAAAAAAACCCAACATGTAATTCTAGGACTTCACACAGATCTATGGATTTCAGACAGCAGACAATGATTAACACTACTGTAGCCAACAGTCATTCTCATCCTGCCCTTTCCTCCCCTTCCTTTATGTTAACACTTAAAACTAAACAGTTTTTTAGGCTTTTGTCTTCCTGAAATAAAAAATAACTATCCAGTTTAATTCTGACAGCAGGTATGTCAATTATACATAAACTAACAGAGTCTTTCTTGTTCTTCCACAGGTGTTAACAGAAAGAAATTCGTAAGAGTTTACTTCAGCTTTTTAAGAAGGCTCCAAATTTGAATATGCAAAGAGCTAAACTCTTAAGTTGAAAGTGTTTTAAAACATTGAGCAAAAGTAATTTATAATATTTATAACATCAGAATTAAAAATAATTACTGTAGGCAAGAATAGAAGCAAATAAAGCATTATTATTTCAAATTTCTGTATTATCACAGCTAGCAAGTAAATTTATGCCTCGTATAACGTGCTTTTCTATCATTTTTACAAGACTAACCAGACTAAGTCCATTAACAACAGAACAAGAACTGTGTAAGATACAATGGTATCATTAAGTTCCCAAAAAAGTATCTTGTGACTAGTCTGAAGCAGGGCTATAATAAAAATTTGTTACTCTCATCATGGGAATGTTTTCTGTGATAATATACTGGCTTAACTTCTGGAAGGTGAAACAGAAGCAAAGAATAGCAAAAGATAAATCATCTTACAACAGATGCTAGAAATTTTTTTTATTTTGTTAAAGAACACACTAGAATCACAGGCTCTGAGTAGTGTTAATCCCCTGATAAATAACCCGAATTGTCTAGAACAAGAAAGATCACGGGTTTAGAATATAATAGAAAAAAAACAGTAGCAGACTTGAAAAAAAATTGAGCTTCCCTCAAGCATGACCAGCTACCTGCATCCAACTGCTTTTCTCGAAGACGTGTTGTCTATACATATATTCAAACCACAATTTGCATAAGGACTTTACTTGGAGCACTTTTTACCTTAATAATACCTATATCGGCACACTCCAGCCCATCTCTACTTCCTGTATAAACAGTTCATAGGGCAGTAAAAGCAGCAAAGCACATGTCAAATGTCACATTCTCTCAAGCTGAGGATCTGAAAATTAGTGGAACTCTGAGGGAAAGGAGGAGGGCTGGTTGTGAACTTCATGAGGAACAACTACTGGTAAGACATCTGGTGTGTCTGAGTGACTTCAAATAGTACCTCTTAAGAGATTACTTGGAGAAGGGTCCAGATTTAACAAATCTTTTATGCATGCATAATCCAGTACAAACATAAAAAGCAGTACTCATGCCTTTCCCCACAGTGAGACAAGGGTGCTTCTTGAAGCTAGCTTGCTCTTTCCTATCCCCTCCCCAGTGTCAGCGCAAGCTTTTTTGGCAGATAAAATGTGAGCCAAATTGGAAGGTTGATGGGTGTGGGAAATAAGCAAAGGAAATACATAAATTGGAGAGGGACTGGAATGAATAAAGGGAGAGCAGATGTAGAAGACAAACCGACTTCTTTCCATTTCCATGGTAGTATCTGCTTACTTCCTGAAACCAGTTAAGTGTTTACTACTAGGGCCTTCACTAAGTGTCGTGTAAAATAATTACTTAATTTAATGTATTTCCTAGCATGTGTGTTTCTAACCTCCTCCTATTTATAACTCTCAGAAGAAAGCTAATTTGAAATACATCCTGAGGTATTCCCCTAAAGTCTTGATCACATGATCCTTTATAAGGTTATAATGGCAAGTAGCCGTCAAACTTTTCAAATGAGACATATGCACAAACACATGTACATCTATACAGAAAACTGAGTTCTGTCTATGCACTATTTAATTACATTACAGGCTGCTGCATATCATCTTGTTTGCTGATAAGCAAATAACAGCCTGAAGCTGTTTTAACATTTAAACTAAAAACCACCAGTATTCAAAATATAAAGTATACCTGGGATATTCTTCTGAGGTTATGTAAACGACATCCTGTTCTGACACAGACGAGGAAAACGGAATAAAATTTCCATTCTGTAGTGGCAAAAGCTCCAATCCAATCAGTTCACTGTAGACTCCATCAGAAAGCACAAATTCCAAAAGATGAAGCTTTTCTTCAGCAGGTCCACTGTGTCCAGATTTCCTTAGTACTTGCCGTACTACAGCAGGAGTCACTTTTTTCACAGCTTTAGCAGTAGAAACAGTAAGATGCACTGCACTAGCAATATTTGCTGGTACCTTGGCAATCTGCTTCCCTGAATTCTGGAGGTAGTTGAGAACAGACTGTGTATATTCTACTGTCTCATCCATTTCAGAAAAGTGCACCTGTTCCACCTTTATCCATTGATTACTCACTGAGTAAATAACAGTATGCTGGAGCAGCTCTTTAAAGAGAGGTACTACAATTGGTTTCCAGGGTACCTTGATTTTGTTCTCATCAGGCCATAACCTATAAATTCTTTCAGCTGACAATGGAAAATCCGAATTCTTCTCAGTCTCCATTCGTTTGATGGCTTCTAAAATAAGGGTGGTATATGCCTTTGGCACTATATTTACCACAAGAAGATCATTCCACAAAGCTGCTGGATCTCTCCATTGATCCAGCTCTCGCCATTTGATACTCCTCCTATTGTCTGTGAGACCAAAGAAACCACTAACATGAACTGGGAGTCCCGTTTTGCTTTCTTCACCTGGAGGCAAAGGCAGAAAACAAAATGCTCTTCCTGAAAAATCTGCTACAGCTCCTTTTTCCTCCCCATTAGTTGATAAAGACATGGCTATTCCAATAGTAGGAACAAATTTCAAGTCATCAGCTAAAGAATCCAGTTCAGTGCACATTCCTCGACCACCTACACAATTACATACTAACCAAGATGTCTTCTGTGCATCCTTAACACTCTCGTCTTCTACGACTATGTTTACATGGTAAGTCACACATGTTATGCTATTGCTTGGAATTCCCTTACAGTACTGATTTATTGCAGTTCCTAAGATTTTGATAGAATTGGGTCTTTCGTGTTTCAAGGCCTTGTTCTCACTAGCAGTTACTCTAAAAATCAGCCTCTCGGTTCCATCAGCTTCTCTAACATGCAGTGAAACATCCTGAACACTCTTCAGGAAAAGCAATACTGTGTCTGCATCTGCTCTGAAGGATTCAAACAGCTCCAAAACCTTCTGTTTGTCGTAAACATTGCTGCTCAGTTGGGAAGGCTGCAGACGAAGTGGGAAACGAAAAAAGGTCCCAGGAAAGTTTCCATTCTTAAAGGTTTCCTTAGTGCTGCCAAACACACCGATGAATGGTGCAAACTGGTCTGTAAGTTCATTGATTTCCTTGCTATCTTCTTTTAGATTCCAACACTGGCCTGATTCATGAGGTCCAAAAAGGGTTTGATGAGGATCAAGCATTCCAATCTGGTCACCACTGAAAATACTAGGGACATCTGTATCCATAAAGAACAAGTATTAGTAGTAATCCTAAAACAACATATTTTTCAAATACAGTCTTAAGAAACAAATTTTGAAACGCCAAGAAAAACAAATGCTATAAAACTGTGATGAACCCAGTATAATGCCCAGTGAAGTGGCTGAGCCACCATCCCTGGACTATTTAAAAGGTGTGTAGATGTGGCACTTGGGGACATGGTTTAGTGGTGGACTTCACAGTGTTAGGTTCGTGGTTGGACTCAATGATCTTAAAGGACTTTTCCAATAATTCTGTGATGCTGTAATTTTGATAACATATAATTCAGTGCTTATTGACAGAAAGAAATAAGCACACTCCTAGTCTGCAATTAAATATATAGTCATTCAACTATCTGAATTTTAGCAAACAGTGAGCAACAAAAAAGCATATTTTTTCAGTTCTATACTTTTATCTTTCTAATATTTTCAGGAAAAAAACAATTTAATTTACTAAAGATGTCTTCGATTACATTTATACTTTGCAAATCTTGAAGGCTTGCAAACAGTAATCTTGTACTTTTAAAAGCATGAATTCCCAGAATTATCAAACCACTGAACATATTAACTAAGCTTTTATTCATGCTCTGCTAGGTGAAATATTGTGAAAAAAACATCCTGTGTCTTACAAAATCATTTCTCAAGTTAAAAACGTTATTTCAGAAAAAATTTGCTTCCTATCCTGTACTATTATAATTACTATGTAGACTGTAAACACTATTTACATTATATGTTTCTTCAGTACAGCAATAAAACATTTTGCCAGAATAATAGGTTTCAAGACTGAATATTATCAGCTTGTGTAACAGTATGTACTGTCTCTCAAATGTAGAAGTGCATGTATCTCTATTATGGAATATCCTTTCTAGCATGAAATAAAATCACTGCTTATTACACAAAGAACCTACATAAAAGTTTCAGTTTAGTCTAAACTTTCACACTTCTACTTCCCTATCTACCCTATATTATGGGCCTCTATAATAAAAACAGCAATGCGTAACAGAAATAACAATGTAGAGAAATGTTAATTTCAAAGTAAGGGCTAAGTACATAATGAAGTTACTAGAATAAACAAATCTCAAAAAAAAATCTTCAAAAACCAATGGATACCTTAAAGAGTTTTAGAAAAATATCAACACTTCTTAAGAAAACTTTAGCCAGGGATCTAATTTTAAAATGCACCATAGAGAAAATATTAAATGTTTGATGTATATCTAAAATAATTAAACAATTTTAAATGTCAACATTTTCATTTTAAAATATCTATTGAGTGTACCTGTTATATGATAAACTGAATTAAAACCAATTCCAAATCTTCCAACTTTCAAGGGATCATCTTTCTTCCTGCTTCTTGCTATTTCTTGTATACCATGCCAGTCTTCAGGGGTGAAAACTGCATCATTGTATGCATAAAATGCTGGCCCTATAATAAATAGGCAAGTGTTAAAAAGATGACAGAAGAAAAGTATTTGTCATTAAAAATTTATAGGAAATGAGCTTACAGAACTGAGAAAGTATTTATTTAAAGGATGCATGTACAAATGAAGTGGGGAAGCTATGACTCAAGCTGACATCAAATGGTGCGTGGTGATAAAAAGGAGGTATAGAGTAGCAGCAAAAACAGAAGAAAGAGAATGGATTTACCTCTGTATATGGTACTTAAGAGACTTATATGCTGATGTGGTGTCTAGCTCTGGTGGCACAAAACCTAAACTCAATCTTCTACTCCATTCTCATTCTTCTACTCCGCTCTTGTAAGGCCCCACCTGGAGTACTGTGTCCAGTTCTGGAGCCCCCATCACAAGAGAGACCTGAAGCAGTTAGAACAAGTCCAGAGGAGGCCACAAGGATGATCCGAGGGCTGGAGCAGCTCTCCCATGAGGACAGGCTGAGAGAGTTGGGGCTGTTCAGCCTGAAGAAGAGAAGGCTCCAGGGAGATCTTATAGCAGCCTTCCAGTACCTGAAGGGGGCCTACAAGAAAGCTGGGGAGGGACTTTTCATAAGGGCACTTAATGACAAAACAAGGGGAAATGGGTTTAAGCTAAAAGAGGGTAGGTTTAGATGAGATATTAGGAAGAAGTTCTTCACTGTGAGGGTGGTGAGACACTGGAACAGGTTGCCCAAGGAAGTTGTGGATGCCCCCTCCCTGGAAGTGGTTAAGGCCAGGCTGGATGAGGCTTTGAGCAACCTGGTCTAGTGGAAGGTGTCCCTGCTGATGGCAGGGGGGTTGGAACTAGATGATCTTTAAGGTCCCTTCCAACCCAAACCATTCTGTGATTCTATCTGTTCAGTCTATCAAAAAGATGTTTGAAAGATGTACCAATCACAGTCTATTAATACCTCCACTGGAAGGGAATACATGGTAAGATACAACAATAACCTGTGTCTGGAAAGCAAGATAGACAAATCCAAATGAGAAGACACAATGAGGCTGATTAATAACTGAAAAAAGCTAGAAGCAAGAAGCAGTGGATCATTCATTGAAATCTTCAAATCCCGACTGAACGCCTTTCAGGATGATTATGCAAACTAATTTGTTTGATAAATACATAACTGACCTCTATCACACAAAACCCTATTAGATGATGTAAAAGCCTCAAAGTAACCCTAAAGTTACAAGAAACTACATTTGCAGTACACAGGCAGCATGGAGCAAAGTTTGGTATAAGGGTGAAAGAACAAGAGATAGGGAAGAAAACAACTGCCTGGAGAGAGCTGAAATGTCAGGGGCTAGGGTCATCTTTACAGTAAGAATTGGAGACAGCTCTCAAATGCAGAGGTTAACATGTAAAAAATCTGAAAATTATTGTTTAATATCCAAAGTATTCTTTTATCATAGGTCTTGCTTATTAAATCTTGTTTACTTGCTCTACTAAAAATCCTTTCTTATATTTTGGGATATCAAGTGAACCCAGGGAAACAAACCACAGGATACACAGTCACCCTGGGAGAAGTGACTAATAATAAAGCAGAACATGAAGACCTTCTCAAACAGCATTAACTGGAAGCAGTTGGAAAGCTGCTACTAACAACCTGTAAAAAGACAGTATAAGGCCTTCAATACCAAACACTGGCTTTGGAAAAGAATTATCAACATTAGAACATAGACAAAATATGTGCATAGTAAGGTGGAAGAAGCAACAGTCATCCCTGTATGGTCACCTCCATACAGCAAGGAGAAAAACACAGAATCACAAGCATATTGAAGAACAATGGCCAAAATGAATAAAAATTATATTTACCCTGATATTGTGCCATGTCCTTTGACCATAGAGTTTCTGTTCCATACTGAGTTTCATCATATAAAAACCTAACCTCTGTGGCACCAGCATCTTCTGCATTCTGTATCAGTTCCTGAGACAGAAAAAAAAAAACCCAAACAAAAACCAAAGTATAACACAGTAATGTTGTACATATTCTAGCAATGGCTTTTCAACTTAAACAGTGAACAAGAATAAGCAATTGTCTCAAGTTTAATTGTTTTCAAACTTTTCAGCCAAAATCATTTTATCCAGTTTACCTCAATGAAAACAGACATCATTATAAAAGGAATATTCAGACAAATACTACAAAAGTTATTTGAATTTGGAGCTCAAATACCACACACAAGCGGTATTTAGAAATAAGTTAGTAAACTGTTACTATTGTATTAACCCAAAACAGAGTTGTACAAGTTTCAAAACAATGCAAGACAGCAGAAGAAAAAAAAATTTACTGTTAAGCTCATATAACACCTGTAAGGCAACAGTGAGGCAACCAGTTAGAAAAGGGCCACAGTGCTCACTTCTAACACACTTTCAGCAAAGGTCTGCAAAGCAGCTCTGACCAGTAACTCTGTAAATCATGAACCGACAGAGCTCACCTGTTGAATGAAGCCCATAGACTAGAACAAAGCTTATGTTAAGATTGAGTATTTGTTAAATAGTAGTAGCACTGGTGAGAGCTTTGGAAAACTCTAATAATAAAATGTCAATAAACTAGTTCTGTAAACACTACCATAATAAAATATGCCTACCCAGTCCCATTTACAGCAATAGTATTATGCACTGCAGGCACAGAAGCATGATTATAAATACCTACAGGTTAGAACTTCACACAATGCTCTATTTACACTGAATCATCAAAATGTATCAGGACTCCAAAGACACACACTCATACATACATATATATACACACGTACACACATGTGTATGTTTGCATAGGTGTATGTAAGTTTTGTGCAGGGAAGTATCTCCACTGAATTGAAAAGCTATGTACGTGCATCACATCATATCCAATGTATTCATACAACATGAATTTCATCCAATTATGCATAAAAATAAGACTTCCTAGCAAGATGAATCTTTACTTACAAAATGCATCAAATAGCAGCAGATATTTCAGACAAGGTTGCATTCTAATACACTGTTGACAGTAACATAAGCTCGTTGTTATTTAATGACTGGTTTCAAAGCTAGAATCTCTCAATTTTTCACTTTGTGACAATATGTTCAGTCTATATGGCATATCACACAAGTAACCAAAATATAGTTTATATTGTCACTTCTACATAATTTTGAAGCATGATGAGATAGCAAGAAATATACCCACAGTTCAGCATAAATAATAAATTTTTAAAGAATCTCTATGAGGTATTTAATTACAAAAACCATGTAATTCTTCTTCTAAAAGAAAAATTACGGCAGGCACTCAAGAACATACAGAAAGATAGCCAAAGCCTCTAGAGATATTAAATGACAAGTACAGTAACCACCACATAGTCAGAGACTTGCATTCATTCTGTGGCACACTGAGCATGTGCTATATTCCGCTGTAACAGCATTGCATTTGAAGAATCCAAACAGTAAAATAAACGTTAACAGATCAGCAAAAATCCTGGCAGTAATCCCTCCCTAACAGTCTGTTAACTCTAAATTGTAAACAATGACAAGAGGAACATTTCTACTTTTAGATTTACCTATCTGATTTCTAAGGATATCTTATTTCTTCATGTTGGAATGAAAATTTGGGTTTAAATTCTTAAGAAGGTCTGAACCTTTCATGATTCAAATGCATCTTACAGATTCAACTAGTACTGGAAAATAGTAAAAATGGAAGCACTCGTCCTGTGAAAAGACAGTGCTCAGAACAAATACAGAATGCCATTTGCCAAAACGACTGAAGATCAGGCATTCACACTAAACAACTCAAAGTTCCACGGCTGCAAAGAAAACCAGCCAGGAGACAGCAGGAACTGCAATCATCTGTCACCATTTATATTTGTGTGTTTTATATATACAGAAAGATATATACATATATCTATACCAAATCCCATTAGTTAGAACCTAGCATTCCCATATACTAAGGAAATTAATCTCCTAACATCCATGTGATGAAGCATTCTGAATGAGAAGTTTAACATCCAACTATGAACTAATCACCTCAGATGCTATTTTAAAAAAAAAAAAAAAAAATCAAACTGGCACTTCCAGACCTTGGCATAGGAAGCTATGATAACTTGGACAAATCATCTTCTGCAGGTACATGTCTTTCCCCTTGCAGGACTTGATGAATTTAGAATGATTCTTACTTTTTCAGATCATAGAATCATAGAATGGTTTGGGTTGGAAGGGACTTTTAAGCATTATCTAGTCCAAACCCTCTGCCATGGACAGGGACATCTTTCACTAGAGCAAGTCACTCAAAGCTCCATCCAACCTGACCTTGAACACTTCCAGTGATGGGGCATCCACAACTTCTCTAGGCAATCTGTTCCAGTGTCTCACCACCCTCATCATAAAAAATTTCTTCCTTGTATCCAATCTAAATCTACTTTCTTTCAGTTTAAAACCATCAGCCCTTGTCCTGTCGCTACAGGCCTTGGTATAAAGTCTCTCTCCATCTTTCTTACAAACCCTCTTTGTATGTTGGAAGGCCGCTATAAGGTCTCCCTGGAGTCTTCCTTTCTCCAGGCTGAACAACTGCAACTCTCTCAGCCTGTCCTCACAGGAGAGGTGTTCCAGCTGTATCTAACGTAAGGTAAGATGAACTCCACTCTACCAGTTCATCATCTTATTTACTGAAAGATTTTTTAGTGCTTAAATCATATTGTCATTTCCATTGTTAGACTTGTAGATGTAACACTCCACATTCAAATGTGGAGTATCACAAGATAACATGCCCTATTGTTGCATACTTCGAAGTCTCCTGGACCAATAATTTAAAAAAAAAAACATAAAGAACACTAACCTCAGGTCAGAAAATCCTGTGACATTATTTTTTTATGAGAACTAGTGTCTAGACTAAAATGTTTTTCAGCACATACAACACTGATGGGTTTGTTTTTCTTATCACTCTAGACTAAGTCTCCCAAAAGCCATTCAGAGATTCCCATCTTAAAAGTGTTGTGATGAAACTTCATGACACTGTCATAATTCACTGAGGAAAACGTAATTAGCTACCAAGAAATTCCACATCAAAATCTTGTATTAAACTCTCCAACTTATCCCAATATTATACTAAGAAAAGCCCTTCCAAAAAATTGTACGTACTATTATGTGGCTTTATCATAGCTTATAAGGAGAGATTAATAATAAAGTAAGAAGCAAAATAAACATTTTAGCTTACTCAAAGTACATCATGAAGTCTCTGATTCAATGATAAAATCTGCATTTTATCTCTCTTTTTTATAAATTTCAGTGCTATCTGCAACAAGCAAACTCAGAGACATTAAGCACACAAAAAAACCCCCACAAACCCACAACTCACTTTGCCTTGTCCACAGAAATGGAAACACGTATCTCCTGTACTAGAATGAATATCTAACGAGGTGTGACAACTGCAGGATTTTCAGGAAAGTGTTAAACTAACAATATTATGTCATGCATATTAAATGACTGCTAAATGACCGTTTGTTATATACCTTAAGAATCTGTCCTCCTTCTGGGTATCTTCTTAAAATATCCTTAAGAAAATCAACAAGTGGTGGTGTTGTTTGTCCAAAACGACCTAAAACCCAACAAATAAACAAATAATCTGTTTATTATGTTATTGTGCACTTTATTTTACATTGAAAAAAAATACTCACTAAACATACTGGGAATTTTTTTAAAGTGAACTCAAGGCCTAATACTGTAAAATCTTGTATTTCCAAAATCAACTGTAAAAATACTATGTTATAAATACTTTTATTTAAAAAAAAAAATTAAAATAGCAGTCTTGATGTTAATGTCAACATGCTGTTTCATATCTAGATTAAACAAATTTGGGGGCTAAGTCTTTGCACCAGTTATAGCCCAACTCCAACTACTGGATGTTCAAATACAGCAACTTCTAAAAGACTACTACTTTTTAAGAAGCAGGACAGTATTCTAGGGCAGCAGTGGCTCTAACTTTTTTATAGCCAGTGACAATCCCTACTGACAGCTACACACAGGCACAGTATACTTTGACTCCAGTGTACACTTCCTGTTCTGGCACATGGTGCTGCTGGACCTGGTGCTAGCTTTGGTGTTACCTGGGCTTAGCACAGGAGGGAAAAATGTCTCAGAAAGGTACTACCAAGCATTATGAAGTCCTGCTTAAGAGAAAGAGTCTATCACAGAATGAAAGGATCAATACTTTTCAAACTCCAGTCTGAGACTAAAGAGCAGCTCCCTACATCCAAACCTCTAAAACATGTGCTTCAAACAAATATCAATAATGCAATCCCCACAAGCAAAACAGACCCTACTGATGTCCCATCTTTCCCTTCCCTTTAAAGTTATTAATATAGTAACTATTCTCTCTCTCTCCCCTGCTTCTGCATATTTGTGTTTTTATGAAGTACACAAATTCAAACAAACAGAAATTATATCTATTATGGAATAAAACATTAGACAAAAAAATCCACAGCATCCTCATCAATGTGGAAAAAAAAAGGGGGATAGATAAGAGAGACCTAATTGCTGAGAAAACATCAAGTAAAAACATCAAACATCTTGGCTTTATGAAATTTTTCTATCACTCTTTATTCAAGGTAACTTAACAGCCTCAATAAAAAGGTTACTGAACCCACAGCTGAAAGTGCAGAAAGTATTTTATAACTTTTGTTATTATTTTTACAGTATATAGAAATATATGAAAGTCAACATGCAATATGTTAACTTCCAAAATAATCTGAACTGACCAGTAGAAGGAAAGTTTGGGTTGTTTCTCTTCTTAGGAGAAATTCTCTAAAATCAAGAATCCAATCTTCCCTAAGTCTGACTTGGGAGGGAGGCTGAAGTGTTTAAACAACAGATTTCACTATGGGAACCACAAAAACAGACAAGTAACTTTTAAGCCATAGGACTGAAGACAGACATTTTAACTAGTTCCATCTCAGAGCAGAGCTGCTCTACGTGTGTTACAAAAATTGTTCTATGTTGAGGTCGCGACTTACTGCATCCTGTCAAAGCTGAAATGATTTTTCTTGAGTATTAGAGACGGTCATATTTAACATAAAACTGGTTCCACAAATCTGAAGGAGAAACTTTTTCCACAATAGGGACAGTCAGGCATTGGAACAGGAGCCCAGAGAGTTTGTACACTTTCCATCCTTGGAGGCTTTCCAAACTGGACCAGATCAACCCTTGAGCAACCTGGTCTGACCTCAGAACTGACCCTGCTTTGAGCAGAAGGTTAGAGTAGAGACTTCCTGATATCCCTCCCAAGAGGAATTATTCTGTCATCGTATGGAAAGATTATGCATTATTTGACAGACATTAGTGATGAATGAACACAGAGGGGACATGGGTGATCTTAAGAGCACTTCAACAACCGATGTGCTTGGCTTCCTGAAGTTAGAAATTCAGGGCTTTCCTTGATTCGTCTGCTATAAGGAAAAATCTCAGAACTGAAAGACTCCAGAATGAACACAAAAGGCTGGTACTAAAGCCTTCAGATCTCTTAGACTGACTTACATCAGAGTTGTGGGACAGAAAAAGTTAAGTGCTGTATCCAGACATGGACTGGTTAAGAGTGATATCTCTTAAGAAAATCTCAGCCAAATATGCCATTCCTAGGTGTAAAAAACAGCAACAGATTTCCTTTCCTATAAAAGATTTCTTAGGGCTACTACACTATCTTCTTCATATACCTCCATGGTAGAAAAACAGCGCGAAGAAAATAACTTGATGCTATAGAACCATGTGGTCTATTTCCATAGGTGTTTTCTAAACATTGCAGATTCCAGAGAATGAGAATGTGAACTTCTATCTAATATACAAACACTTCATTTTCCTCTGTCACTAGAAAACCATCAGCCAGTACACTCCTGGCTTACATAGGCTGAGTAATACCTTTTGTGACACCAAATAAAATATCTGCATGCAAAGAAGGGCTTTCATTCTTCATTCTATCGTCCCATTACCATTTATTTCCTTCCCTTACAATAAAGTTATTGTTAAAAAAGTTAATGTTAGCAACCAAGTAACATAATAATTATAGATTTTAATTAGAGCATTTCTGAAGATACCATACAAACAGATACAATATTTTTAATAGATACAGAATAAAAAAAAACAACAACAAACAAAAATATCAGAAGAAATCAAAAGCTTTCTACCAATAGTAGTTTCCTACATAGAGGTTACTGAAAAGATATTCTGCCAGTATATCAATTGCTTACAGTTATTCAGCTTATTTTATATGAGACAAGGAAGCACTACTGCAAGGTAAGTTTTATTGATTCCAAAGGACAGCAATATTCTAATTTCTACACAGGAAATTACAAAGAAATAAATAAACACCAGGGCATTTAAAAAGAGAACATTAATTTTCCTGAAGCAGAATGAAAAGAACAAGTGAAGGGATACCTAGGACTTCCAAGAAAAATAACTACTTTCTATTTAAAGAAGATGATAATTTCAATTAACTCCAGACTGTGTTAGAAAATGTTTCGTCCTTCCAGTTTATAAACAGAGACAAGTATTTTTCATACCTCCTCCTTTCAACCCTTTTGACTGAAGCTTCAGAAAAACTTGATTTTGAGACTTCTGAAGATCCACCAGCTTGATATCATCAGATAACTGAAACAAAAAATACGACAGATCTTGATCAGAACATCCTGTGGCATAAACAGTTTACTGTAGCTTAATTTCCTACACGTTTATTCTATGAAGTCTGGTTTTATCTGAAAGTATAAAAATACTCTGAAACATTCAGTATTGAGCCTGAGCAGCACTTTCAGACCCTAAGGTTTAGGATGGCCTCCTTTGCCTAATGATACTCCTCAGATGAAGTATCAGTTCATCTGATACTTCATCAGTTAATAGGACCAAAAAAAATGTCCACAAACAAATCAGGTGGAAAAAAATGCCTATAGAAGCCTACTAACACCAGGCCATGGCCTCCCATTTTCGCATTTGAAAAGTTCCTATGTTCTGGGAACTTCTGGACGCATACAACTAAAGCAGTTACTGTTCTAAGGTGCATGCCCACAAATAAAATAAACATATACAGGAAGTGCGTGGTCTATGTATGCCAAAAAGTACATATGGGTGTGTAACTTCATAGGAGTTTTAAACTAAGTAGTATCAGCTCAGAACAGCCAGTAATACAGAACGCATAGAGACAAAAGTATGTCACAGAAACGGCCCTGAAAAATGACAGCCTCGTCTCCCCATCACCTCAACACACAGACCTACGGACTCACCAGGAACATCACAGAGAAACTGGGGCAAACTAAGGAACAAATTCCTTAGCAGCCATTGGGAAAAGTATTTGGTAATCATGGCACGTCACGGTTTTGTTGCAATTCTAGCTTCATATTATATGTGTGTCCCAGTCATATATGGTGGGATGCTAAAATAGTGATATATGACATCACGTTATCCTGCACACCATGATAATATACATACAATCAGAAGTTGTGCTGTGCTAATTAGAAACTTAACCACTTCAGATCACTAGAAAGAAGCCAGTGCTTACACATAGATGTTTACAATCTAGCTACATTTAATAAGCAAAAGACAGTCCTGGCCCACAGTATGTAGTCATAATTGTAAAATATTAATAAGAAAAAAATTATATTCCTTTTTACTTAAAACAGTTTTAAATAGTACTTACAATAATAGTGTGTTTATTGTAAGTTCCTACAGAAATGTGATGCTTGAGATGGTCTTGTCTCAAGATGTAAAATAGCTTAAACTGGGTATACCACCCACTCAGGACTCACTAAAATAAAAAAGAATCCACAGAATGCCATAACCCATCACCAAGTATTAAAGAGATAGAATAACCAAATTTTCTCGGGTAGGATTTTTGTAGCAAAATACCAGCAAAAATTAGGAAAATAAACAAAAATTAATAGTTTAACATTGTAAGGAACTATGAGATAAAGAGATACTGGATTTTACTTAACATCTATGAATTGCATAAAGTAGCTTTAATGGAAAAAAAGATTTACTGATGAATATTCTACTACCTCAATAAATTTAAAAATAATTTAATACCAGTAAACAGGAGTTAAAAGTTTGTAAAGGATTTTCAAAATTGCTACAGTACAAATATTCCCATATATATTTTAGTTTAATATTTGTTAAAAAATCAGAATAGCTATTACAGTCTGCTTACTGACTGTTTGTTCCCTGCCAAAAGATAGTTTTCTGTGCCAGACAAAAGTGCTGCTCAGACCTTCACTTCCAGACAAATTTTAGAAAGTGATATACAGATCTCCTTCCTGCCAAAACAGGAAGGCCTGGAGAGAACAAAATCAAGGACACACAAAACCAGGCAAGAAAATAAAAGATAAACTACATGGGTGGTTTGTTTCAAACCTGAGCACTCAAAGATTATTTGCGTTCCCCATGTGGGTTCTTAAAAGCTTCCTGAGCAACAAAACTACTAACACCTAGTTCTTTCCTAGCATCATAGAATAGTTTGATTTGGAAGGGACCTTTAAAAATCATCTAGTTCAAAATCCCCTGCCACGGCCAGGGACGTCTTTCACTAGACCAGGTTGCTCAAAGCCCCATCCAACCCGACTTTCAACACTTCCAGTGATGAGGCATCCACAGCTTCTCTGGGCAATCTGTTCCTTCCAGTGTCTCACCACTCTCATTGTAAAATAATTCATCCTTATGTCCAATCCAAACCTACCCTCTTTCAGCTTAAAACCATTGCCCCTTCTCCTGTCACTACAGGCCTCGGTTTAAAACCTCTCTCCATCTTTCTTAGAAGTATGTTGAAAGGCCGCAACAACGTCTTCCCTGGAGCCTTCTCTTCTCCTTTATACATTTGCAAGTCCCCTTGCCCTATTTAACCCTAATTTCCAACCTGCTTGTCTCCCCTTCTTGCCTCTACTCCTCCCACCAATATATCCCATTTCCCAAAAGCATGGCCAGAAGCATCATGCCAAGCAGGACTGAAACAGCAATTCCAGGCTGATGCCTTCAACAGAGCAAGGCCACTCACTCATCTGACGCCCTCTCCAGTACCCAAACCTCAGCTGTAACTTGTAAGGGCTTCTAGTCATGGTGATGTCAGCTCTGCAGTCGAAGCTGTCGAGCAGGCAGAAAATCAACTAAAGGCCAAAAGGAAACCAGAACGAGCATATCCATGCTGTCAGGTGAATCCTCATCTCTCTCCAAAGCAATAAGCACGTGGATTGTGTCAGAAGCAGCAGAAACAACACGCATAAGTACAACACAAACAGAAAGACACAAATATACAGAAGACGAAAGCTGGCTCCATCAAAAGGCCAGGGGTTTGCTGCTTGTCCAAACAACCTTGCGGAAGGCACAGGCTGGGCTGCCCGCACAGCAGAAGACCGGGAAGGACGCAAAACGCAGCCGGGTGGGGACTGCCAGCACAAAGGCTGCGTGAGAGGCCG